TGGGGGACACCAATCTCGACCATATCAGGATCTGATTTTCCCCGACCGATGCACACAACCTGGTGTCGATATATTGGTTTCCGGAGGCGGAAGGGGCAAGGGACCCATTTAGTCGACACGTACAATTCCGTTTGGGTAGCCTCCCTAAATGGGCTGCGGCGGTGCTCGGCACGTTGTGTTGGGGTCATGTAATCCACATATACAGGGTAGGTGTTACAAATGTCCTAGATGATCCGGCATTGATTGGGGCACCAAAAACGGTGCCGCGCAGCCGTGTCTTTATGAGACAGACCGGCGTGACCCAGATCACTATGGAGACGAGAGTAGGGTAGATGGCCTCATGAAGTAAAACCAATCGAACTGGATTGGAGGGAGAGTACTGAAGGAATAGCACGTCGTCGCAAAGGCGAGGGTTGTTCCACGCCGCTCAAAGACATCGAGTTTCCCGTTTAGAACCTCTCACCTGCTCACTGGACGGTTTCGGCGAGCGACGACGAATACTAACATAAATAAGCAATATTTGTGGCTCTGCAGCTTGAGCCGATGCCCATCGTGAGTGGTTAGGAGCGCCAAACGTAATAGCAGTCACCTGGGCATGTGTATCGAATGGCGGTGTCGTCTGTGCCCGGCGAGACATTGCGTCCGCATTCTGATATTTCTTACCGGCAAAATGGACGACAGTGTATGAATACTCTAAAAGGTCTGCCTGTCAGAGCGCGAGTTGAGCAGTCGGATCCTTGAAGTTCTCTAACCACCGCAGTGCCTGATGGTCGGCGCGTAATATTAACCGCTTGTCAGCGAAGTAATGGTGGAACAACGGCAAGAAGCTCCTGACGAGTTCATAAAAGAAGCTCCTTACGAGCTCCTTACCCGTTAATCCTTCCATAAAACCATCCCGTAACGGATTTAATCATGTACTATTTTTTTGAATTGGAACCCATTGTGGAACAGTCAAAATTCTAAGTGTAATCCGTCAAAACTTTTGAATTCTAAAGGAAATCGTTTCTGTTAACTGTATAATTGGTAGATATTTATTTCGTAGACGCAAATTTCGGCAACTTCAGGGGCACATGATGTTTCAGTTTTCCATAAACAGAACAGAAGTCGGTTTGTATCCTTTAAGTGTG